AAGATCCTGAGAGGAGAATGGAGGAGAAGGGATTGCGGCGTGGCCATTCCCCCTGGGGGGTGATTTCTTGCTTTCTATCTCTCGGTCTTTCTCTGTCTGGCAAGCGCATGCGCCCTATAGCAAAAACCTCTGCAAAAAAAAGGGAAAAAAAAATTATTTAACTTTCATTTATTTATTTTGATCAGAGAGGGACAGAGTGAGAGAGGGAAAGCAAGAAAGCAAGCTGCTAGATCCAGGATTCAAACTGCAGTCAGTTATGTGGGAGTCCAGAGCTCTTAAGCACCATACCACCTGCTGGCCCGTTTAATCTTTTTAAAGTTTTATTGGGAACCAGCAGTTAGTGTAATGGCTATGTCGCTGGACTCCCACGTAGTTGACCGCGGTTCGTGTCCCAGACCTGGTGGCTTAAAACACGCCGGCCACGTGTGCGTGCGTGCCCAAGATCTCGAGAGGAGAATGGAGAAGGGATTGAGGCGTGACCATCCCCCTTGGGGGGTGATTTCTCGCTGTCTCTCTGTCTGTCTCTTGTCTGTCTGACGAGCGCATGCGCCCTATAGTGAAAACCTCTCCAAAAAAAATATTTTTTTATTCGACTTTATTCATTATCATTATTATTATTTTAATTTGACCAGAGAAAGAGAGACAGAGGGAAAATGAGAAAGCAAGACGCCAAGTCCAGGACTCAAATTGCAGTCGGCCACATGGCAGTCCAGTGCCTGCTAGCCCCAACTTTTCTTTAGGCCCCACCAGTATCACAATTCTTAAAGCTTTCACTAGTCATCCTAACTGGAAACAATCTCTCCTTCCTAAAAGGTTTCTACGGGCTACTTCAATCCCCATCACCCGTATTTAGAGAGTGGCTACTTAGCACCCTATGAGTCCGTGCTGTTTCACACGCTCTCTAGGCACTAGATTCTACCTGACAAGACAGAAATGGATCTACTGAATAAGAAAAGTAAATTAAACCAAACACTGGCCGTCCTATTTCCCTGAAATGACCAGTAATGCCTTCACACCCCCACGGTTCAGTAACCTTCCCTTGCTACTCCTTTTGCCCCACTGAATGAAGAGGCAGTTTACCCACGATGTCCGGGGGCGCCCCGTTAGCACAGCCTGACTCAGTGTAGGTGCCAGCAGGGTCAGGAACTCACGCTGTATGAAGGCAAGAGCGCTCAGAAAGATGAGACAGCAGCTGGCCCCGCAGTGCAAGTGAAACGTGCTGCTCCAGAGAAGCTGCTCCCCCACGGTGACTGCAGTCGGACTGTTTTAAGTATCATTTTATTTTTATTTACTTATTTAAATTTGACCAGAGAGGGACAGAGTGTGAGAGAAAAAGGGAAAGTGAGAAAGCAAGCCAACAGGCCCGGGATCTGAACCACGGTCAGCCATGTGGGAGTCCAGCGCCCCAACTACCACGCCACCTGCCGGTCCCTACAGTTTGAATCTTGGTTTAGTTGACCTGAAACACTCCAGGCACATGCGTGAATGCCCAATATCTACTAGGCGCTACCCTAGAGGGAAGGAAAAGCAGCATGACCAAACCCTGGAGAGGCACTCATCTCTCTCACGGGCACATGCAGGGGCTCAATCGTGGATAAAGAAAATGTGTGTTGTGGCAAGCCAAAAAAACAAAACAACAAAAAAAACCCAGAGGCTGGATTCTATCTAGCACCAGTGGCGAGTCCCTGATCGATAACTTACTTGGCGCCACGCACTCGAGTACCTAGGACCAAGAGGCTGGAAGACTGGGGAGAGCGGGTCACAGCATGATTAGATCCTGTGGGGGTGCTCCTCTGTCACACACATGGATATGCGTAGGCTCTAACATGAATAAAGAAAAAAGTACAGGCCAGCTCTATAGCTCAGCCATTAAGGGAGTCAGAGCCCACGGGGATGACTGCTTTAATCTTGGCCTAGCAGTCTGAAAAACATACCATGTGTGTGTGCATGAGTGCCCAAAACTCCAATGGGATGGACGAAAAAGGCTCTAGCATGCTACATCCCATGGGGGTTGTTTTTCTCTATATATAATATCTATATAGTTATATGTACACATTTAATACATATACATATATAATGTTATATATATATATATATATAAAATGTACATCATTAATACATATACAATGTTATATATATATATATGTAAAATATACATACACGCATACACACACACACAGACAGGGTCTGTCTCATGGTTGAGGTTAGAGAGGATACAGCCAAGGGAACCAGCAGTTGGAGTAATGGCTATGTCAATTGCGGTTTGAGTCCTGGACTCGGTGGCTTAAACTCACGCCAGGTGCGTGTGCATGCATTCCCAAGATCCCAAGAGAATGGAGAAGGGATTGTGGTGTGGTCATCCCCCCTGCGGAGTGATTTCTCGCTTTCTGTCTGGCTCTGTCTTTCTGGCTAGCGCACGTGCCCTATACCTAAAACCTCTCCAGAGAAAAGATAAAGCCAAGTGATGAGCCCTAAATGTAGACTCCAATAGCAAATTCTGGCTCTCAGTTACTAGCTACGCCCCTGAGTTTCAGGCACTTCATCTGGAAATGGGGATAAGATCTACCTTACAGGGCTGATGAGAGGGTTCAATGAAATAAGATGTGAGGAGTATTTAGCGAAAGTTGGTCACACATCACTACTCTCAATATTAAAGGAAAGCACATTTTGTACAACCTCCCTGTGTTCTTAGGGTCTTCTTACTGGCTCTGGGTTTTATCTGCCCCTGGGGCAATTTCTCCTTCCCTGAAACCCAATATGCTGAAGGAGAAAAGTTCTGGCTTTAACCCTTGAGAGTCAGACCTTGAGCAGATTTTCTTCTAAGCAGGACTGGCCCAGCTTCTCTGACAGGACCAGGACGGCCCGCTGGGGAAGACATGTGAGCACAGGGAGCTGGCAAGTAACAGGGCTCACACATGTGCTTGGCTCCATCCGCCTCTCTATGGAAATAGACAGCACACCACCCCAGGACCACGAACTGGTTCCCAGAGGCTGGAAAACATCCTAGGCCCTCTAGGACCGTGAGCCGTGAGCTGGGAACACTGCAGTCCCACCTAGTGGCCTCCACACCCCTCGCCTTCCTCTCCCATGGTGTTAGCTGTGTCAGCAGTTGAGACCTCTGGTCACATCCTTCAGTGATTGTCAGGGATGGAGAGAAACCAAATACACCTCTTTTTTTAATAGTAACAAATACAAGCAGCAGAGAGGGCCAGCTGCTCTCTGCTGTTCCCTGAGGGAAAGCCAGAGCACAAAGCTGTTCCCTTGGCCTTCCTCTGGCTGCAAAGCCTGCCTAGCTCCTCCCTAGTCTGAGGCTTTGTTTCAGCCCAACTTCCCTCATCCCAACTCCCAGTCAGGATGGGAGGCACATGGTTGCTGGCAGCGGGAAGAATACTGTTGTTCCAGCCTCTGATCCTTTCAGTCCCAGCCTGGGTGGTGGTTGTTCATCCTTCTGCAACTAGCTCCTCCTGGACCTGGCCCAGTGCCAGCAGGGCAACCAGTCACCCCCACAGAGCAGTCGCAGTATGACTTCAGTCATCCTCAGATGACTCCTCTTCTGCCTCCTTTAGCCACTGGATGAACCGCTGGAGCTGCACAGAAGCAGAAGAGAGTTATGAGAAGAGGGGAGCACACCCTCCCACTCTCTTTAGTGGGTAAACAGCTCTAACAACCAGCGTCCCAGGGACTGCCCACCCTGGAGTCCAGGCTCGAAGACCAGGGAACCACATAGCACCAGTGAGAGGCGGGCGATTTGATTACCTGTTGATTTTTACGCAACTGCCGGCTTTTGTCAGTTATATCCCTTTGGCTGAACCAGCTCAGGATTGTCTCCTCAGCCAGGATCTCCAGTTGGTAAAAAGCCATCAGTACCTGCAGAAGACCAGCAAGGGGGAACTTCAGGTTCCAGCAAGATGCAACAGCTAATGGAGGAAGAGGGTGCATGACTTAGGCACCTCTCCACCAGGCCCTCAGCTTCCTTCCACATGTGAAGCAGCCTCCTCCAGAACACAGGAGCGAGCTGCCCACTCTGGCGCCGTGGCAGGCATAACTTCTACTACTGCTGGGTAGTTCTTTGTACACTCTCAGGCCAACCCCCAAATGGCTGCCTTACTACTCTAGGTCCAAGCTGTATTATTCCAGCAAGGAGCATCATCGAGAGTGGCCAATCTGAGCAAACATGGTAACCGTTAGACACATGCAGAACCATGGGCCTGTGAGCAGTCATTTGCAGGGCAATGAGAACAATATATGCTTGGGACCAGTAGTTAGCGTAATGGCTATGTCGCTGGATTCCCATGTAGTTGACCGTGGTTTGCGTCCTGGACCCGGTGGCTTAAACTCACGCCAGGCGCATGGGCGTGCGTGCCCAAGATCCCGAGAGGAGAATGGAGGAGAAGGGATTGCGGCGTGACCATCCCCCCCTGGTGCGGGGGTGATTTCTCGCTGTCTCTCTGTCTCTCTTTGTCTTTCTGGCGAGTGCATGCACCCCTATAGCAAAAACTTCTTAAAAAAAAAACAAAAAAAAACCATGTGAATACCCTAGCAGTTCCAGGTTAAAGGAAGCCCCCAAACCTTTATCAGATTGGCCCTAAAAGATCAGAGAAACTATATGGCGCCAGCTGTGCTCGCATCTTCAGCAATTAACATCCAAAAACAACCGACTTTGCATTCCACTTCCTCTTCCCCCCTTTCCTGTCCTTTAAAAGAATAAACCTGGTAATGGTTAGGGGTCACAACTATCCATCAGAGAAGTCAGTCGGGCCCACCTGATCCTCAGTTTTCTATACTTATATGTGTGTTTATTTTTATGTTTATTTCTAATCCACGGCCCCTCCCACTCAGAAAAATGTGTTCTGCTGAGCGAGCCCTGGCAGAGATCGATACTATGGGTGGATAGCATGGCTGACAGAACTCCACACTGGATTCATGTTGGCCTATGTTTTGTGTCTCTGCAGAGGTCATTGAAGCCTGTTTTGAAGCAAATGCAGGAGCATGGGACTTGAGGTGTAGTCACCTTGGCCATGGAAGTACTGAGGGCTTCATGCTCCAGGAAGAACTCCTCGATGGCTGCCAATGCTTCCAAGTGATCAGCTGCGCGCTTTATGTAGTTCCTGAGAACAGGGCTCCAGGTCTTGAGCAGCTATGGAAAAAAAGGAGAAGGGAGCTGGGATATATTCCTGAACCTGCACCTGCACCTACACCTGGATAGCAAAGAAAATCAGTATCAATGACACAGCGTTTTTGTGACAGGGGAGCACAAGAGGGAGGTGATACAGGCCCCGTGGAATCATGTCAGATGGACTTGGGAATTGCTAGAAGTCCAGGTTAGGGGAAAAAGACAAGATTTCCCAGGGAAGATGAAAGACAGTCAGATGTGTAGTCTGCCTCAAAATACACAGGATGGGCTCGATCTCATTCTGGGTCAAACTGCTTTCACAGAGCCTGGAAGTCCAAGCTGATTCTGGGTACACGTTTCAGGGCCTACGATAGCCTAAATCTCAGGAGTCTCAAAGGCTGCTCAGTACTAAACCCAACCTGACTCCCCTGGGCCAGCCAAGGCTGCTCTAGAACCTAAACAGCTTCCAGCGGCAAGGAGAAGGGAACCAGAAGTGTGTGTGTGTGTGTGAGTGTGTGAATGTGTGTGTGTGTGTGTGTGTGTGTGTGTGTGTGTTAGGGGAAAAAGACAAGATTTCCCAGGGAAGATGAAAGACAGTCAGATGTGTAGTCTGCCTCAAAATACACAGGATGGGCTCGATCTCATTCTGGGTCAAACTGCTTTCACAGAGCCTGGAAGTCCAAGCTGATTCTGGGTACACGTTTCAGGGCCTACGATAGCCTAAATCTCAGGAGTCTCAAAGGCTGCTCAGTACTAAACCCAACCTGACTCCCCTGGGCCAGCCAAGGCTGCTCTAGAACCTAAACAGCTTCCAGCGGCAAGGAGAAGGGAACCAGAAGTGTGTGTGTGTGTGTGAGTGTGTGAGTGTGTGTGTGTGTGTGTGTGTGTGTGTGTGTGGATTTCAAAAAGTTCACGGGAAAATGGAATTAAAGTATGAGTTTACCTTGGTGTAAAATGTTTTTTTTTTTTTTAAATGCATCTTTTTGTTTTGTTTTGTTTTTCTAAAATAATACACATTGTCCACAAACTTTGTGGAGATCCCTTGTATAATCTATAATGCCTCTTCCTACTCCTGATGTGTGGTGCTCCTGCCTGATCCCTTGTTCTCAGACCCAGTCTTTGCTCACAGGAAGTAGCAGGGCACAGTAGCGGTTTGGGTCGAGCGGGGCCTCCACTTGCTGCAGGGGGAACTCCAGGACCACGTGGCTCAGCACCTGCATCACCTCCTTCAGACTTATGTTGTAGGCATACCTGTGGAGAGACTGGGATGACACTGGGCCTTCGCTGGCCCCTTGAGCATGCTGCAGGACCGTGGCTTTGACAGAACAGTGGAGGCAAGGGAGTCAGAAGGACCATTTTAGAAGGGAAGGGTTCTGGAAAGGGGAGGTCTGTGCTGAGGCCAAAACCTCATGCTTTCTTTCCTGCAAATACTACTGGCCTTCTCTATACAGGATATTGAGGAAATAGGTTTCATCTGGGGAAGAAATGCTTAGGAGATAACGCTTATCTGCCTGGGGTTACCCTGAGGAGAGAGCAGGGAAGGGTTGCTCTTACTTGAGTGAGTTGATCTCCAGCACCAGATTGTCACAAGAAATGTTTTCTTCTTTGCCCCGCTGTAATGTTCCCAGAACTTCATTCTGAAACACTAAAATCAAAGGAAGATTAAGTTCATGGGCCAATTTTATTCTTGAATGCATTTTATTTTGGGGGGAGAGGTGTTTGCTATAGGGCACGTGCAGTCGCTCGCCAGACAGAGATAGAAAGCGAGAAATCACCCCCCAGAGGGGATGGCCACGCCGCAATCCCTTCTCCTCCATTCTCCTCTTGGGATCTTGGGCACGCATGTACATACGTCTAGCATGAGTTTAAGCCACTGGGTCTGGGACTCGAACTGGGGTCAACTACATGGGAGTCCAGCAACACAGACATTACACCAACTACTGGGTCCCAGAATGCTTTTTTTTTTTTATTTTAATTGACTGAGAGGAAAACAGAAGAATGGATAGAGGGAGAGACAGAAGAGAGAGAAGCACCCCTAACAGAGTCATGCTGCAATCTACCCCCAGCCTTGGCCAGCCTGGATCCACCAGCGTTGTGTGCCTGGCATGCAGAGGGAAGCCCTGGGACTTGGGGCCCGCTGTGTTACCACTGCACCATCTTCTGGCTCCCAGAATGCTTGAAGTCATGTTCCAACTTTATACCAAACTCTTTCTGGGGGGACACAGCCTCTGACTAGGTGACCCCAGGCAAAGAATAAACAGGAGACGTCCTTCCTCTGTCCAGTTCTACAGCTCTGGCCACTCACCTTTGATGTCATCCATTTGAGGGGAGCCTGCCCGACTATCCAGCTCCTCAGAATCCATACTTCGCTCACTTTCAGTTTCACTCTCTTCTTCCATATTAATTGTGAGTCCTAAGAATACATAGAGTGTGAGAACAAAACAAAAATAAGGACAGAACCATTTATAGAGAGTAATATGTTTACCCTGTCTGCACGAATAAAGGAGTGAATGATGAATCTGATTGTGAAGTATTCCTTTCTTTTTTAAAAAACAATTATTTATTTAATTCCATTTGTTATTCGTAGTTGTTTTGACTTGACCGAGAGAGAGAGAGAGAGAGAGAGAGAAAGGGAAAGCAAGCCACCAGGTCCGGGACTCGAACCATGGTCAGTCACGTGGGAATCAAGCACCCTTATCCACCACACCGCCTGCTGGCCCCTGTGGCGTATTCTTCACCCTTCAAAATACACAGGTTTATTAGAACAAGGCAGGCAGGCATAAGGCCTCGCATACCCCACAGATTCTGCCGTAGCTCTTCCTCCTCCTCCATGTTCGTGTCTGCAGCTTTCCAGAGGTAGCCCTGGCCCGCTTCTCCTACTTCTGCTCGATTATAACCTGGAAGAGAAGAGGCACGGGTCTTCAGAGAAGGCCCAGCAGAGCACCAGTCCCTCCAGGAGGAAACACTGGCTTTTCTACGGGACAGAGACACACAGATGCCCCACACCTGTTGAGACTCACACCTTTCATCTTCATTTTCTCCTTTTCTTGGTTGGCCCCAGAATCATCACTGAACTGGCCATCATCCTCATCTTCCTCTGCATCTGGAGGGTGCAAAGAGATCACCGAGCCCTCAGGCAGTGTGATGTCTGGGCCCACTACCACCTGGGGAGAAAAAAGGAGTGGGTGGCAAAGACCCTCACATGTGTTGAGGGAAAGTACATCCTGCCAATGAGAATGACATTTTTAAAATTTGTTTAAATAAGACAATGGAATGAAAATGAAACCACTGGATATGAACTCTCAATTCAGGCTGGGTAACGGGTGGAAACAAGGTCCCTTCTGGCTCAGCCTGATTGCCCCTCAATTTGGGGCCTTGTGCAGTACAGAACAGTCCTCACCTGGCAAGTGAGGACACAGCGTGGCTTCAGGGTCACCCTCTCCTTGACCTCGGCATTGTCGCAGAGCAGAGACTGATGGACCTGTGCTCCAGTGGCCACTCGGACGCCCTGCCACAGGTAGGCCTGGTCCAGCACCACATTATCACCTGGCTCAGGGTGGGAAAGAGGCCCATTCACTCAGGGCTCTGAGGACAGGGCTGATACCTGCACAGCTCCGGCCGACCTTTAACACACTACCCCCGGTACCCAGTCATCCCCTCCACCGCGGCCCGAGAATGGAACAGCGCTCAGTCTGGGCATCTCTTAGGTTTGTAACTACAGGCAACGCACAGGGCATTAAGAACCTGAGAACCTTGAACCTTTCTGTGAACCCTTTCAACTCAAGAATCTTGTTAGAATGAGCCATGTCCACAAGTAGAACTACATAATTCTACCTTTCCGTATACATTTTAGAATTTTAATTTTTAAAACACTTTATTTATTTATTTTTATTTAACGAGAGAGGGGCAGAGTCAGAGAGAGAGAGAGAGAGAGCGCAAGTTGCCAGGTCTGGGACTCAAACCATGGTTGGCATGTGAGAGTCCAGCAGTCTTAACCACCACGCCACCTGCTGGCCCCTAGACTTTGAATCTTATTGTTGGTCTCTTAAAGGGGCAAGTACCATTATAAGCATCACATTATAACAATCAGAGTGAACTGCCAAAGGGCTAACAGATAGTTACGGCAGAGTAAAAAGAACACTGGACTCATCCTCAGAACGCCCAGATTCCAGCCCTAGCACTGCCTCTTACTAATTAGACAGACCGAGTGACACACTGCTGTGAGTCTGTCTCCACGTGTAAATTAGGGATAAACAATATCTACCTCACAAGGTTTTTGAGTATAAACTGAAATAATGTATGTAAAAGTTCCTTGTAAACTATAACACACCAAATGGTTATTATTATTGCATGTTAATTATCCACTTGGTCCTGAATGTGAATACAGGGTACCCTAGAACGTGATGCGTCATGTAGTGAGAGGTTCACAGGCCATGAATTAAGGCACTACTATTTTCAAATCCCTGCCTCTTCCTTCCTCTCTTTTTTTTTTCTTAAGTTTTTTTTTTTTTTTTCTGAGATATTTTCTCTATAGGGCGCATGTGCTCACCAGACAGACAGAGACAGAGACACAGAAAGTGAGAAATCACCCCCCAGGGGGGATGGCCACGCTGCAATCCCTTCTCCTCTATTCTTCTCTTGGGATCTTGGGCACACACACACACGTGCCTGGCGTGAATTTAAGCCACTGGGTCCGGGGCTCGAACCACAGTCGACTACATGGGAGTCCAGCAACATAGCCATTACGCTAACTGCTGGTCCCTTCTTCTTAAGGTTTTTGCCATAAGGGCATGTGAGCTTGCTAAAGGGACAGAGAGGGAAAGTGAGAAATCACCCCTGGGGTACAATCCCTTCTCCATTCTCCAGGGGTTTGGGGCACACATGCCCAGGGGCCTGGCATGATCTTCAAGCAGCAAGTTTTTTGTTTTAAACTGTCAATACAATAAAAATGAGACCACTGGATATGGACTCTCAATTCAGGCTGGATAACGGGTAGAAACAAGGACCCTATGGCTCAGCAGGACTGCCATTTAATTCCAGGCCGTGTGCAGTATGAACAGGCCTCACCTGGTAAGTGACTACGCTACCTGCTGCACCCCACCCTCTCCTTTCTTGTTTTTTCAGAAGTTTTTGTTTTAGGGTGTGTGTGCTCGTGGCAGGGGTCGGGGGGAGGCAGAGACAGTGAGAGGGAAAGTGAGAAATCCCCTCCCAGATGGAATGGCCATGTTGCAATCCCTTCTCCTCCATCGTCTTCCCGGGATCTTGGGCACCCACCCATATGTGCCCTGCATGGGTTTCAAGTCACCAGGTCCAGGACCCAAACCGCGGCTGGCAGCAATGTAGCCACTACGCCATCTGCTGGCACCCCCTCTCCTTTCTTTAGTTCCTTATCCCCAGAGACTATCTCTGAATATCTATCCTTGTTTCTGGAGACAAGGGCCTCCCCCAGGTTCCAACTCCTAGGACAGCTGACTTGATTCCCCACCTGTGCTCACCAATGTGGCAGCCAGGGCCAATGACACTGTTGGTGATGGAGCAATTGCTGCCGATAACAGTGCCAGGGCCCAGGAGCACGTTTTCCGCTAGGACGCTGCCACGGCCCAGGCTGACCTCGGGCCCTCGGTAGATGTTGTGCCGGGAATGAGTGCAGCTCTGAGTGCTGCTGTCTGTGAAGTTTGCCTCTGGGGTGAGCGGGTAGACCCATCGGCGGATGACGTCAGCACAGACAGCTGAGTACATGTGTAGGTTAGAGACCCGGGCACCATATTCCTTAGTTGTGACATGCATGTGGATCTGGTTCCCCAGGATCTGAATGAGAAGGAGAGAGGGGTTACCAAAGCAAGCAAGACAGGAAGAACGCCCCAAAGGACGCTTTTCTAACCCTCTGCAGTTACCTTCTGCCTTTCACTGTGACAGCCTCATGGCCTGAGTCTTTTCTCTCTGTACTGTTCCCCCTGCAAATGGCTCTCTTCCTCCCTCCCACGGCTTCCCAAACACAAAAGGACCACAAGCTACCAGCCTGAGATAAAATCACAGCTCTCTCCTACGTGCCCAGCGAGGCACTGGAGTCTCTTCTCACCTCTTCGTTCACTAAGAGGCCTCTTACAAAGTCATCCCGGGTTTGATAGTCAAAGTTGTCGGTAAAGAGCTGCGCCACCTGTGGGAGGAAGTGGGGTAGGCTGAGGTAAGTGCTCTTTTCTAGAAGCAGATATGCCCCCAGAGACCTATCATACCTACAACAGCCAGACACAGACCCGAGTCCCAAAGAGGCTCCCAATGGGATACCATGAACAAGATGAAAGCACCTTTTTGCTTTAGATAAGAAAAAGAGGAGGAAAAATGTACCCTGGCATTCTAGGGGAGCAATCACAGACCTTCAGGGTTCTACTCTTTGGATAGGGAGCCCAAGCCCCGAAGATCCCACCTGAGGAGAGCAGATGCTGATGTGACAATCCAGCAAATCATATCGAATCTCCACCCCATCGCCACTGCCCTGGAACAGGCCCTGTGGGGACAAGTTATCAGAATGCTCACTCATCTCTTCTGCTGAAGCCTATCACCTTCTCACCTCAGGGACCCCAGACACCCACACACCAGAGGAAATGAAAAACGCCGGAGGCCCTGGGTCTTCTGGAAATGGAGAACCTGGTTTGTGGCACTATCGACGGCCACTACCATGCTGTCCTCATGGCAACGAGTTGGGTGGCTGGGGGATGACTCCTTGAAGATCATTGTCATTACAGATACATTTTTTTCTAGCTTCCGTCTCAACCTACAAAGAATAGAGGGGAGCTGCAGAAAAGCAGTTTTCGGGCTTGCTGGTCCCCATCCCTTGCCTCTGCCCTGTCCCCATCCTGACCTGTGTTCCTCCAGGGCTCTGGTAATATTGATGTTTGAGATGACATCCCCATACACCAGAAGGAAGTCGGAGCGCACCAGGGCCTTGGCATCCACGTCACGGAGGACGTCTCCCAGTGAGCGATACAGCTCCGACGTAATGATCCGAACCACATTGAGGGATGTGGGACGGCACCATTTGGATTTTCTGGGGGGTAGGGGAGCAGATGAGTAAGGCAATCATGAAGCTCACCAAGCCTTCCCTATTCTCCCCTATTCAGCCTTCACATTCCTTCTCTATAGCTTTTTTGGGCTCTTGCCAGCATCCTCAACTTCAAAGAGATTTATGAACTACTATTAATGCTTTCCTGTGTCTCCAGTCTTGTTTTATGGATAAGAGAAATAGAGTTATTTCTTTCCCATACCTGGCCCCTGTCCCCAAACATGGGCTTGAACTCTTGAATCCTGCTTCTGCTGAAACCTACCATATATAAAGCACCCTGGGAACATACTTTTTATCTCACTTTTCTCTTTCTAAAGTCCTTATCAAATTTAGAAACTGTCTGATGCAGATTACAATAATATCCTAAACTTCATTTCTTAAGCTTCCATAAACCTGAGAGTCATTCTTTTTCAAGAAGATTTCAACAAACATTTAAGTCTTTCCTATGTACTTGGTACTTGGTAAGCAGTAAAAATACAGAGAAAAAAGCATTAATTCCTGTCCTTGAGGATCTGAACAAACCATAATACATTTAGAAACTCAATAAGAAACAAAGATGTTATTGAGGTAACTTCCACATTGAAGCCATTAGAGAAAAAGCAAAACCCATCAAGACCAAACTTTGTGAAATTCATAAAAAAAATTCAAGTGTCATTCTTTTTTATTTTTTAGGTCATAGGGCACTGTGTTTTCCTCAGG